AGATTACATAGCCTTACAAATACACTGAATCAGAAATATTGAGAGATTTTGTAGAAAGGGCCTAACGGTAGGCTTAGTTACAGTGCCCCAAATACTTGCATTATATGATTGAATTGAACTAAAGACATTTGATCGATCACAACATCAAGCATTTCATATGGAGTCAGCTCCTACATCTTCCTCAGAGACTAACTTGTTCAACATATGAATAAGCTGATCAAAGTCATCTTGTGATCTGATGAGACTCAATCTCACAAACCTTTCCTCTGATCCAAACACTTTGCCCGCGCGTCCTGTTATCTTGGCCGCTCTCAAAATCTCATAGCAGTTTGTGTCTTCTGGTCTCTCACACTTCACCCAAGCATAAGCTTTCACATGAAAAAGCAAACATAAGTTATAAAAATTTTATCTAGTACCAAAACAAAAGTCTGACATTCCTGCACTAGAATCGAAACTTACAAGGAGTAAAGTCTCTGACTTTCTTGAAATAGTTACAGTACTCAGGTTCGATTGTTTGGAAGGAGAAACGCGTTGACATGGACATGATCTGGTTCAGTGTCTCCCATCTCTTCTTCAAAGTTTGGTAGCCAAAATGGAATATTGATTCGCCTTCATCGCCAACCACTACTTTAAGCAACTGAAGAGCATGAAGCTGTGTGTCTCTTGAAACTCCCATACTACTTAATCTAATATATGTTTTCATTCTTTCAAAAACATCTTTGTCCTTTACTAATGCCCATCTGCAGCAAAAACAAAAACACTTGTGAGTTGTTGTGACTAACTAATCCAAAGCTTGGAGTTGTCACATCTCTAAACAAAGATGTTTATAGTAGTACTAGGAGAGCAGAAGTAAATCACCCGAATCTTGAGCCAGCATGACCTGTAGTCTTGGAGAGACTAAACAGGCTCAATTCTTCATCAACTGGTTTTGTAATAGGTGAGAAATAAGGCCAGTAATACGCGTAATCATGAATTGTTTTGACATTGGGACCATCAAGAACCGCTCCTTTCAGCTTCCCGTCTGGATTATTCGGAGATGTCACTACCTCTATAACTTGTGTGATATTGTCATTTGGCTCGCTCTTCTTCCACTCAGACGCATCTCCTTCGAACTTGAGATGTGCTGAATCAAAGAACTCCGCTTGCTCCTTGTACATCTACACGCACACAGGCTCATCAGAACTACCGATTGTTTCAAACAAACATTCAAGGGCCACCTAGCTTACCGAGTAGTATGGAACAGAGGTCAAAAGCCTTGCAGGTGATGAGTTTGTGGAAGAAGACAAGGCATGAACAGCTGCTGCAAGCAGTTGTGTGGTTCCACCTCCAAAGATTACAAATCTATCATCAGTAACTGCATTTCCCACTACACTATGCAGCTTTCTAATGACCTTCTCAAGCTCTTCCGACACAAATGTCCCATCTTGATAAAAATAACTCATTCTGTTCCATCCTGAGACCAAAACCGCGCTGCTCTCGGCTTGTCGCATCCAGAAAGGCTCCAAAAACAAAGGGTCTCCTCTTCAAGAAACAAAACAAAAATTGAAAAGTTCAATCCAAAGTTTATAGATTGTTGGTTTGATATCGAAAAGAGAGAGAGAGATCGAAAGTTGTTGCATACGAGTTAGCATTGACATGACAATCCACGAGAAGAATGGAGCAATCTTTGCCTGTGTAGCAATTGTTACACTCACAAGGAGGTTTATAACCATCAAGAACACCAAGACCGTCCATGAAAGCTCGTCCGTGGCCTGAGCATGACACAGATGCTGCGGTTTCTGCTTCTGAAGCCGCTCGACTGGTCCAAGTCGGATTCCATGTGGTTGAATTATTATAAAGAAAATAAATAGTGAGCACAAGATTCAAAATGAGTGACACCGTAACAACTAGTCTCAGATTCATCTCTTTACTTAACTAAAGATTGGAATTTGTTTCTTTT